TGAGCTGAAAAAAATCTACCTGCCGCATAGGTTACAGGGGCGCCAGGGTCGCCTTTCGTCTGCACAACGTCCTTCAGCTCCGCGCCCTTGCCGGACTCCGCCTGCTGCGTAGCGCCCTTGCCCTTGCCGAACTCCATGTCCTCCAAAATGCCCTTGCCGAACTCCGCGCCCTTGCCGAACTCCACCTTCTGCGTAGCGCCCGTGCCCTTGCCGAACTCCATGTCCTGCAAAATGCCCTTGCCGAACTCCGCGCCCTTGCCGAACTCCACCTTCTGCGTAGCGCCCGTGCCCTTGCCGAACTCCATGTCCTGCAAAATGCCCTTGCCAAACTCCGCGCCCTTGCCGAACTCCACCTTCTGCGTAGCGCCCGCGCCCTTGCCGAACTCCATGTCCTGCAAAATGCCCTTGCCAAACTCCGCGCCCTTGCCGAACTCCGCCTGCTGCGTAGTGCCCGCACCCTTGCCGAACTCCATGTCCTGCAAAATGCCCTTGCCGAACTCCGCGGAATTGCCGAGGTTCGCCTGCTGCGTAGTGCCCGTGCCCTTGCCGAACTCCACGTGGTTGCCGAACTCCGCCTGCTGCGTAGTGCCCGCGCCCTTGCCGGACTCCATGTCCTGCAAAATGCCCTTGCCGAACTCCGCGGAATTGCCGAGGTTCGCCTGCTGCGTAGTGCCCGTGCCCTTGCCGAACTCCGTGTCCTGCGAGACGCCCTTGCCGATAGCGAGCTCCACCTCCTGCGTGATGCCCTTGCCCTTGCCGAACTCCACGCCCATGCCCTGGCCGAACTCCACCCCTCGCGTAGTGCCCTTGCCGAGCTCCACGCCCTTGCCGAGCTCCACTTTCTCCGTAGCGCCGTTGCCCTTGCCGAGCTCTACGCAGTTGCCGAACTTCACCGTCTCCGTGGCGCCCGTGCCCTTGCCGAACTCCATGTCCTGCGCAGTGCCCTCAAACATGTGCGTGAGCTCCGCGCCCGTGCCCGCGCCCTTGCCGAACTCCACCTTTCGCGTAGCGCCCGTGCCCTTGCCGAACTCCACGTCGTTGTCGAACTGCGCAGCGCCCTTGCCCTTGCCGAACTCCACGCCCTTGTCGAACTCCACCTTCTGCGTAGCGCCCGTGCCCTTGCTGAACTCCACGTCGTTGCCGAACTGCGCAGCGCCCTTGCCGAACTCCACCTGGTTGCCGAACTCCACCTTCTGCGTAGCGCCCGTGCCCTTGCCGAAGTCCACGTCGTTGCCGAACTCCACCTTCTGCGTAGCGCCCGTGCCCTTGCCGAAGTCCACGTCCTTGTCGAACTCCACCTTCTCCGTAGCGCCCGTGCCCTTGCCGAACTCCGCGTCGTTGCCGAACTGCGCAGCGCCCTTGCCCTTGCCGAACTCCACGCGGTTGCCGAACTCCACCTTCTGCGTAGCACCCACGTCCTTGCCGAACAGCATGTCCTGCGCAATGCCCTCGACCACGGGGAAGCCCATCTCCTGCACGATGCGCTTGCCCTTGCCGAACTCGACCTTTTGCGCAGCGCCCGTGCCCATGCCGAACTTCATGACGTCGACGACACCGCTGCGCTCCACATCGTCCGCGTTGTTCTCGCCGTAGGACAAGGTGTCCGCCGTGCCCTCGCCGATCTCCCCGGTATCCGCAGCATGTTTGCCCTGGAGCTCCACGACATCCGTAGCGCCGCCGAGCTCCATGACGCCCACGCTGCCCTTGTCGAACTCCACGCCGTCCGTAGCGATGACGGCCGCAGTGCTGCTGAACTCCACGTCTGCGCTGCCCTGGCCGAACTCAGCGACCTCGCCGAACTCCATGTTGTGAGGCGAGGCGTCACTCGCTAGAAAGTCCAGGGGCGGTGTGTCCTGCAAGTCAAGCTCCACCTGCGTGTCCCGCGCGGCAGGCAGGGACAGCATCAGGCTATTGCTTGGGACATCCTTCGCACGGGCAGTGAAACAATTTCCCTTCGTATGCATGCTGCTATGCTTTCCCGCTCTTCCACAAGAAACAGATTTATCGCACGTAATGTAGAATATGTGATTTCTGCACACTTAGTCAAACGAGCTTTTTCTATTCTGCGATGCAGCAACTCACAAGCCACACAGCAAGTGTTTTGGCCACCCAAGTCCGCTCCTCGCAAAACTCCCAAGGAGGTTGGCTATCAGGCCAGCACTCATCTTCAGAGCTCACGACATCAATGGGGACTGTGTGGATGGGCTCCCGGGTCACAACCACGCGCTCGCCAAAGGTGTCGGCAGCCTCCTACCGAGGAGGCCAACGCGCGGGGCGTGGTGGAAGGAATTTTGAAACTGGTTTAGCTAATTGCTGGTGTGTGAAGAAAGGTTTGATGACGTTAGCTCTCTGAAGTTGGCGGTGTTTTAGCCCTTCAGGGGCGCATGATTATGCACTCAAGACCAAGGTCCTTTGCCACATCACCATTCGCGCTGGCAGCTGTCGATGGTGCCGGCAAAGGGTCCTGTCGGGTTAAAACGATCTCCTTGCAAAAGATCAGGGGCAGGCAAAATTCTGTCAGTGGGCAAAGGGAATCACAAACAGTCTGGCTGCCCTCCTCGTCACCGCACGAGGCCTTTTTCGCCCTATTGACCGAGTTGAAGCACGGGCTGGCAAGGCCAAGTGGCTTCGCCCGCCTAAGGGCTGGCGCGGGCGCATTGCCTTAGATCAATTCAATTAGCATCAGCTTAAAATCCAACAATAGTCCAGTGGTCCAGGTATGTGTAAAATCTTTTGGGGTTTTCATTTTTTCAACAACCACAACTGCCAGCTTTTTGCCTGCAACTTTACGTTATCAGTTGTGTGCTGTTGTTTGTGCAGTTGTGTGTGAGTGTTGGGTGTTGCTGTGTTGCTGTGTTGCTTGTGCTGCTTCCGTCACTTGCTTGCTCGCTTGCTGGCTTGGGCGCTTGGGTGCTTCGTTTTTGGGTGTGTGGTTGGCTGATTGGCAAGCTTGTGATTTGACTGCTTGACTGCTTGATTTGTCGGTTGACTGGTTGGCTGGTTGACTGCGGATTTGATTGATTGATTGATTGATTGATTGATTGATTGATTGATTGATTGATTGACTGATTGATTGATTGGTTGGTTGGTTGGTTGGTTTGGTTGGTTGGTTGGTTGGTTGGTTGGTTGGTTGGTTGGTTGGTTGGTTGGTTCGTTGATTTGCTTTCTTGCGTGCTTGCTTGCTTGCGTCTGTCTCTTTACCTGCCTGCCAACCTGCCTGCTGTCTGTCTGCCTATCTCTGCTGCTTAATTGGGCGCTTGTTCTATTTTGTCGACGGTGAGCGTGTGTGTGTGTGTGTGGGTGTGTGTGTGTGTGTGCATGTGGAAAACCATAGGTGCGCTTTCGATGTGCAGCTGTGTTGCGGGTTACGGAAAGCGCATAGGCGCCCAAAGGAGCACGATCCCGAGATGTAATTTGGGCATCATCATCTTCATCATCAGTTCCAAGTACAATCGGCTCATCGGAGCGCTTGCCCCTTTTCCTTTGCAGTGGCCGCGCCTTCTTTGGGTTCACCTCCATAACTTGACTCAGCCTTGAGAAGAGCTTGGTTTTGGAGTGGCGGTCAATCGATTTACGCCAGTACCTTCTGGCGTAGCTGAGAAGTCCGCAAAGCACGTAAGACTCCTGCAAGCTTATTTCCAGAGGTCATACGATTTCCTAGACTATCCAAATAACAAAGAGTAAGGCTGTGCAACCAAAGGTCATGAGAGCACCAACGTTTCTTTGAACGGGATGTTGTTGCCTGTGAGAGTTTCCCGGAGCCATTTCCATCTAGCCTATCGAAGACCGACGTCATTTGAGTGATGCTGAAATCACCTGCGCGCAAAGCAACAATAGGAAAGGGTGCTCACCCTGCTCTTTATTTATTGGGGCCCCCTTTTACAACCACAAAGCGCGCCCGCGTCCAAGCCTGTTGGTGAGAGCTGGTACAGAGCTTCAATCAAGTTGATGTAGGTCTCCATGTCTTGAAAGCATATGAACCCAGGGTTGTGAACAGGAAACAGCGTGTTGTCCGGAGGCTTCTTTTGGCCGCATAAGGTAAAGCTGCTGGACGGCAAGTGTAGGGTGAGAAGGCCTGAGCCCAACAGCAATTGTAGAATCAAACCAGGCTGTGCTCTGAATTATGGCCAAGGTGCCAGCTATTTCATCGTCTTTTCCCGCCAGCGACATCTCTGGATGCAAACTAGCCAGCTTTAGAAGGAGCCGAAAACACTAGCCAGCAACGGCCGGGCTTTCTGCTCCACTGCAGCAACTCTGCAAGCATCAGGGTCAGGTGATTGTGATTGCTTCTTCTTCGAACCCCAAGCAGGAGCAGCATTTCGAACTCAAGTGCAGGCAAGCAATCCTGGAATTCCGGGCTGACTTTTCCCCTGATTGGACCGACCCCGCCTTTGAACCCTCGTCCGCGAGGCATGCATGCAGCGCTGAGTGGCTGAGACTACATCGGCTGAAACCATAGCATGCTAAGACAAAGTCTCGTATGGAGTGTGCTTGACTGCGCGACAACAAGAAGGCAAAGGTGCCCTTTTGATTTCCATTTTGCTAGATGCAACCCTGGACATACGAAATCAGTCAAAACCAAGGCAAAGCTTATAGACAGGGTGGGAAGAGTGTGATCCCATGCTTCCAAACAATATGCACGTGCTGGATGTTTCTGTGTGTTGGCTTCTCACCTTGCCTCGGCGCGGTCAATCAAAGTGCGAGTTTGGCAAAGTTTCACTCAGCCTCCTTTGACCCCTTTCCGGGCCCCCGTTTTGAAGCCCCCGGGCCCTCGTTTTGAGGCCCCTTGGGCCCCCCGTTTTGAGACCTCGAGGGGTCATGAGGGCCCATAAACGGAAAAGGTGGCCGGGATGCGCATCAGAGACCCCCGGGGCGCGCATCAGAGACCCCAAGAGCCTTTGGGTACAGAAAAAAAATCGGGTACCCTTATTCTAACCTCTCAAATCTGGAGGACCTAGCAGGGCTTATGTGTTTAGACCCCAAAAACGCCTCACGGCAAGGCCCAGGTGGCGAGCGCCGGCTTGCTGGAGAGCCTGCGCGCCTCCGTGCGCAAGGCCCCCGCAAGCGGGCTAAAAACGCGTTATGTGGGCATGGGTCAAAGTTAAGCCAGGAATTGGACCGCAGGTGGTACTCCATATTTCCATTTGCCAGGGTTCGGATTTGTGGGATCACGGGCTTTCTCCCCCACTTCTGTGATACAGGGGAATCTCCCCTTTAATTGGGGGGGGATAGCTTTTGGGGAGCCCTTTCTCTTGTATCAACAGAAGTGGTCATTGCCCACAGCCCTGGATTTGTGTATTTCAGGTAACCCTTGTAGTCGGCTCCAGCGAATCGTCCGGTTCTCTAGGGTGTTAGACCGTTTTTAGTTGGTTTAGTGGTTGAGTTTCATTTAACCCACTAGAATTTAGGTTTTTAGCAGGGCGGAGCTTTAGTTTGTGGTTTGGATAGGTTTGGGGAAACCCCTACTTAACCTCCAACGCACCAATCCAAACCACAAACTCGAGGGAAGCTGAGTATTGTAGCCTTATTAAGAAATCCAAGTGAAATCGTGGAGGATTGGATGTTTTACCAAATCCCATTGTGGATATTGTTGCGGATAGGTCTGGAGGATCGGTATTGTTGCGGTAGAGGATCGAGTGTACCCTGAGTAAATCCATTCTTAAATCCATGGCATTTAACATGGTTATCCTTAAGCCAATTGAGTACTGTTCTGTTCCATAGCCTCGAAATTTTGAGTGGTGTTTGGTGTGACCCCAAATTGCCCCTCAGACCTTTTGGAAACAATGGCCTTTGCTCAGGGGGCAACCATCCATGGAAATTGTTTCAGCTAGTGCTTCACGTTGTCAAATTCACGGCAGAACTACAGTTGGGAGAAAGTTGGCACAATTCTCGGTTTGAGGGTGCTTATTTTGTGGGTAAAGGGGAGAACAAAAAGGAAGCCACATACCTATTTGCGTTCAGTCATGCCATGCACCTCCCCACAAAAAGCTTGCGCAATCTACATGACATAAGGGACCGCAACCTTTGCTGCGCCAGGGTGCCTCCCACTTCTGTAGCGAGGATCCTCCTTGAAGTGAAGTGAAGACTTGGCCGCTGGGAAGGCCGGCAGAAGTCCTCAGCTTGCTGTCCCTTTTGGTTTTGGCTTTCCCCTCGTCTTTCTCTTTCCGGCAAAAGCTTAACTACTAGGTCCCCCAGTAGCCCTTTTACCCTTTTTCGGGGGGAGGGGACAGTTAGACTAGACCTTGCCCATCTTTTTTCTATAAAAAAACCTAGGGTCCTCCCCACACTTTTAGCAACATTTTAAAACAGCACCTCAAAAAGCACATTTTCAAAAATCAACATTTTAAAGCAGGTAATTTCCTAGTAAGTTCATCCATATTTTAAAAAATATTTTTTTTAAAAAAATAAATATAAATTTTAAAAAAAAAAAAAAAATTTTAAAATATATTTTAAAAAATAAGTTTTAAAAAAAAAAAAAAAATAATTTTATAATAAAAAATAAATTTTACAAAAAAATAATAAATTTTAAAAAATAAATTTTACAAAATTTTACAAAATAAATTTTCAATAAATATAAATTTTAAAATAATAATAATATAATTTTACAAAATAAAAATAAATAAATTTTCAAAACATATTATTCCAAAAATTATGATAAATTATTTTACAATAAATTTTATCACAATTTTTGTAGACATATTATGGGCAAGGTCTGGTTCATTCGTTTTTTATAATTATTCAAATCTTCTTTCAAACATTTTATATTTATACAATATGTTAAAATCAACTGCATCTAATTTTTCTTTGCTACAAATCCATTTGTTGCCATTCTTTTTTATTTCGATTAACCATTCAAATTCTCTAAAGCTTAAATACCACCAATTGGATGTCTTTTGACTGTATGAATAGTTTCCAGCATTTCTAATTATTCGTTGGTTGTTGGTTTGTTCCATATATTTTATCATTGCATGTTTTAATGGGATGTAATTTTTCGTTTCAATATTGTTTATCATTTTATGATGTTCTGTAACTTCCTTTTCTAACCGTTTTTCAGTTACAAATCCGTAACTGTCATCTTCTTCTTCTTCTTCTTCTTCTTCTTCTGTTTTATTATCATTATCACTCAAAAAATCATCAATTATTTTAGTTTCCTGTTGTTCAATATAAGTTAAGAATTCATTGATAATTTCTTCCTGTTCAACCTCTGTAAATACAACCATTTGTATGATAATATATATAATTAATATTTCTTTAAGCACTTTTTACAAGAAATTAAATTAATAAATTAAAATTAAATTAATAAATTAAAATTAAATTAATAAATTAAAATTAAATTAATAAATTAAAATTAAATTAATAAATTAAAATTAAATTAATAAATTAAAATTAAATTAATAAATTAAAATTAAATTAATAAAATAAAATTATAATTAAAATAGCATAATTAAATTATAATTGCTAAAATTGGATTATCATCATTAAAACTTAAATCCCGTGCAATTTTACAAACAGAACCACTGCCTGAAAATAGTTCTAATAAATTCATATTATTAGAATTATTTATATTTTAATTTTCAACAATTACATATTTACCATCATCGCCCTTAATTATTTTATAATATTCTAATGTTTGTTCTTTTGGACTTTTGATTTGCCCCTTATTTAACATATCGCAATATTTTTTACGCTTCGTGTCATAATCACCGCTGGGTCTGCCTATCCCTTTCTTTTCAAAGATCTTATCAATCTTTTCCTTCTCTTCATTGTTATTTTTTGGTTCGTTTGCCTTTGCATCAAGTTTCTGGTCAATAGTTTTTATCATCTCGTACAACAGTTTAACATTTTTACTAACTGTCATTATCTTCTTTGATAGTTCAACAATAACATCATTTTCAACTTCAGACATTTCTATATATATTTATTTATATAATTATTTATTTAAATAATTATTTATTTATAAAATTGATTTAATGTAAAATCTACTCTTTAAGTACTAAATTTTCATCATTTGTTTAATAGTTTCCTGTGCTTCGTTATCACCATTATCGGATGGCGACGCATGCCTCCCCCATTTAAAAGTTATATTATGAACATCCGTTTCCAGATTTATACTGTCTTTGGTTTTATCAATATTCATTTTCTTATCGTTTTTACTCAATTTGAAATTTGTCGGAATACACGAACATTTACAATTTCCTTTCTTTTGTATTTCTATTTCATTTTTCATTTCTAACATCTTTTTACACATAGGACACTCAAACTCGGTTAGTGCTGTTTCCTTAACAATTTCTTCTTCTTTGTCTTCATCTGTTGAAGAAACTGTAGTATCCGTTTTATTCTTTTTGTTTTTCTTTTTTCCCATTTATATTAATATTTACATTTTTATTTTTGATATATTGTATTCCTAATTTTATTAATTCTAATGTATAATAACAGCATTTCTTAATTTTATTGTCAGTTATTATTACTTGTTCTATATTCTCTACTTCATCTATTATATCAATATAATCTGAATAACTTCTATCCATATTAAATAATAAGATAAATTATTCTAATTAATCTTATTATTTTCATGCATAATAGAATATTGGTGGGGCACAGCACTTGGGTTTTCATTGCACACGCGAGCAAGACACAAAACTAATTATCTTCAATGCTTATTGATTGAAGCAATGGAAAACCTGTTCCATTATGTTATTCACCGCCACTCATAACATAATGATGTTCCATTTAATATTAATTACAAGTTAATTTTTAAATATAATTTTCTATATTTCTTTAATATCAACTATGACAGATGTCCCAATAATAAAACCAATAAACATAACTGAATATGAATTCAAACAATCCAAATATGAGCACGTGCCAAAATTACCATTTAGAAGTATTATAGTTGCGAGTTCGACGGGAGGAAAAACAGTTTTAGTTCAGAATCTTATTTTAAATGTTTATAGAAATTCATTTGCAAGAATATTTATATTTTCCCCAGCGTTCATAATGACCCAACTTTTACAGAAGTTAAAAAATACATCAGGGATGAATTGCACGTAGATGATGAAAAAGAACAAATATATTTTGATAATTATAATCCAAGTGATTTAGAAAATGTAATTGAAAGACAGAAGAAAATAATTAATTATATGAAATCTAAAAAGATAAAGAAACTGCATTCAATATTAATCGTTATAGATGACCACGCAGACGATCCTAAATTTGTTAGATATAGTAAATTATTACATGGATTATTTACAAGAGGTAGGCACGATGCAGTAAGTGTAATTTGTTCAACACAAAAATATAATGTTTTAGCGCCTATCATTCGTTTAAATGCCAGTTCATTATATATTTTTAGGTTGAAAAATGCAAGTGAGTTAATGAGTTTTATTGAAGAAAATAGCGCCATTGTTGATAAACAGCAATTATTAGATATGTATCATCAAGCCGTTAATGACGCACCTTATAGTTTCTTCTACGTGAATATGAATGCTAAAGACATTAACAAAATGTTTCATATCAGATTTGAACAGGCGTTTCAAATTACGAATGATGAATAAAGATATTCTAATTTAATATAATATAATAATATGTCAATGAAACTATGTAGATGTGGTGGATTTTATCGTAGAGGTAATTATAACTTTCATACTAATTCTTGGATACATAAACTTTATAAAGTGTTAAAAAGACGACCAACAGACGAGGAATTATTAAGATTTCAAAATAATTTTGTTGATGAAGAAGATTTAATAGATGATATAAGTAGTACTACTTCAACAACAATACCAGAGGATAAAATGACAGATTATGATAGCAATTAATAATATTATTATATGTTAATATTATTAATTTAAATTAACGAAGCATTGCAAAATTGTAAGGCAGGAAGTTTATATATTAATTTGTCAGATTTTTCTTTCTCCAGTTTTTCAATTCGTGTCACACATTCTTGAATAGATTTAATGATTAAAGTATCTGCTCTTGTTTTTTCATCTACTCTTAAATTCTTAATGTCTTCCATACTGTTATTTTCATTATTTTTACTTTGACCAATACC